TGCGCTGTACCACATCTCCAAGGTAACTAATGCGTGCGCTGTACCGCATCTCCGAGGTAACTAACGCGCGCTGTACCGCATCTCCAAGGTAACTAATGCGTGCGCTGTACCGCATCTCCGAGGTAACTAACGCGCGCTGTACCGCATTTCCAAGGTAGCTAACGTGCCCACGCTGTACCGCATCTCCAAGGTAACTAATGCGTGCGCTGTACCGCATCTCCGAGGTAACTAACGCGCGCTGTACCGCATTTCCAAGGTAGCTAACGTGCCCACGCTGTACCGCATCTCCAAGGTAACTAATGCGTGCGCTGTACCGCATCTCCGAGGTAACTAACGCGCGCTGTACCGCATTTCCAAGGTAGCTAACGTGCCCACGCTGTACCTCATCTCCAAGGTAACTAATGCGTGCGCTGTACCGCATCTCCGAGGTAACTAACGCGCGCTGTACCGCATTTCCAAGGTAGCTAACGTGCCCACGCTGTACCGCATCTCCAAGGTAACTAAACATGCTTCTAGTGGTAGGATGATTATAATTGTTAAAATTTGCTTCGGCGATCTGAGTGTGTTAGTTTTTAAACAGCCTTTAGTCAGCACTATCTCGCTTCGTCACATGTGAGCACACTTACGCGTCTGATAGGCACTAAGGAGAAATTCCCAGGCAGTAAGCTTACTGCCTAAGCTGAGTGATATTTGTCATGGCAGCCCTGTGGCGACAGGCGATTAAATGCACGCAATATTTTACACGGATTAGGTCTGTCGCTTTTGTAAGTGTGTGCTGTATGCCAGCGATGCTACGCTAACGGCAACAACGACCTTTGCTTTATCATCCTGGTGTTGTAATGCTTTGATTAAAAGCTTCAAATTTATTGCATGAGGTCGTTTAACGGAGCGCAAAATATTGCGAGTGATGCGTGTCTCTATTTACTGTAACGTCAGGTTAACTTTTTGCAACATGCAACATTAAGTGACATGCAGTTTCCAACAAATGCCGACAAATGTCGCTTATAGCTCGTGTGTGTGTATGCGCATATGTGTGTGTGTGTGTATGCGCATGCGTGCGTGTGTTCGTGCGTGTTTGCAATATGTTCAATATTTAATTGTTGGTTTTTTTGTCAGGAACACTGGAATCAGACGATCGTGGCATTGGTCTACAATGTGCTCAAGACCTTTATGGAAATGAACAGCAAGCTTTTCGATGAGCTTACTTCAAACTACAAGTCCGAGAGACAAAAGTAAGAATGCTTACGGGGAACCTTTGTGCTTTATAATTATATGTTAGTGAAGTGTGATAATTAAACATCAAGAAAGAGAGAGAGAGTGGGGGAAGAGAGGGAGCAAGAGAGAGAGGGGGACGAGAGAACACGTAGGAGATAAAGCGTGAAAGAGTAAGTTCACACAGTTTACAGGCAACAGGTTAACAGCAAAGTAGTACATCTATTCTAGTTATATTTATTACCTATACATATAACATTACATACTATTACATATAACTATTCACTATAACATATTCGTCCTGTTCCCCGTGCCATCTTGCAGATGAAATCGACGGTTAATCATGTGTGTAATTCTTTCTAGTATTATCAATGGATTTGCACTACCACTGAAACACGAGCATAAGGCTTTCCTCGTGAGGGTTCTCATACCTCTACACAAGGTCAAGTGTCTGGGGCTCTACCATGCTCAGGTAGGCACGTTTCTACAGAGGAGTAGTAACGCACGGGTCACCGGCAAGTAATTCACAAAACTACTGATTAAAAAACTGGTTTCTGCTCGGGTGTCGTGGTTTGTGTGGGACCGGGAAAAGCTGGAAGGTCCTGGGATTTTTAGATGACATTCTTTTAGGAGTGGAAAGTCCTGGAAAATCGGCTAAGGTCGTAAAAATTCCTGGAAACCTAGGCTGTTATTTAGGTTTCGTGTGAGTCGTGGATAAGTGTGGAAAGTTCTTAAGGCGTCGTTTTCTAACTCTCGACTATTGTGATTGGTTTGAGAATGCCCTCGAAATTTAACTACTGTTTATCATGCGTAAAGGTCAATCGAATTTGCTTCGTGAAATAGTTTGTTCACTGCTTGCTGATTGGGTAAATACAAAATATTGTGTTCAGCTAAAATCTCGCGGACATGGAAAAGGAACTTTTCGAGTCCTCGAAAAATTTAAGCCAAGCGTTTTCCCTTAGTCGTACAAACCCTGAGTATTAAGGTAGGGCTCATAACAACAAGTGTTTAACGAAACTATTGATTTCCCTCCAACGATGATAGAAGAAGAACCATTGAGACTGTCAACACCGTTAAGCTTTTAACATCAGCGTGCTTAGTCTCCTACCTACATTTGAGAACTGGGTAATCCCACTTGGAAAACCGATTGGTTTACTCAGAAATCACTCGAAGGGTATGATAGAGGGAGGAGATTAGTGTTGGGCCACCGCAAAGCTTGGGCATGAACCTCTTTACTACTGAGAGTACGTAATGTATTAACTGTTAGGCACACGTGATGATACAGCAACGTTCATTCTCTAGTACCACAGTGATGTATATTTACTGTTAGGCATAAGTGATAGCACAACAATTTTCATTCTGCAGTACCACAGTGACGTATATTAATTGTTAGGCATAAGTGTTAGCACAACAATTTTCATTCTGCGGTGCCTCAGTGACGTATATTAACTGTTAGAAATAAGCAATAGTACAACAATTGTCATTGTGTAGTACCACAGTGCATGTGTATCAATTGTTGCAGCGTGAACGATATCCCAATGACCATCTTGCATGTATTCTCTTCAATCGTGGGGGGGGGAGGTCCGTAGATAGATGCAGAGCTGCTCGCTCATGCGTGAACGTTGCTATCGCCATCATCATCGTCATCATCATCATCATCATTGTTATTGTTGCAGCTGGCGTACTGTGTCGTGCAGTTCTTAGAGAAGGATTCGCTGCTGACTGAGCCGGTCATCCGGGGGCTGTTGAAGTTTTGGCCTAAAACCTACAGCCAGAAGGAGGTGGGTGAACTCATGCGCGCGCCTCGCCTGGCCGCGTCGGATCGCCGTGTTCCGAAGCACGAAAATTGTCTGATTACATATATATA